TAACCACTCGTGCTCATATGTATATCCGTTTTTGCGTATGTAACGTATATACGTATATACGCCGCGTAGCATCAAATGCACTCATCTAATACACGACTCAACCTAGAGGTCATAGGCGGTGTTGCCATTTTAGTTTTCCAGCTAAAATTATTTTTTTTAATTTGGGTTTAGCCGGAAAAACACTGTTTAGTTTCTTGCTTTTTTTTAGCTTTTTATTAAAATTATTTAGCTTTTACTTTTGTTAAAAATAATAACTGATAATTTAAATAGTGTTAAAATGCTTAATGAGATGTTTAGAGGCTGCACAGCCGGAATAAACAGAATGCGTTTTGAAATATACGTTAACATATCATCAGGAACGTTCTAAAGAATAAGTAAACAAAAAAGTTTATTCCAAACGTTCAGAATGAATAAAGAAATGCAGCCAGAGTCAGGTATGGAATGAAAAATAAAGTCAAATGTCATGATATTTAACATCGGTGGAGAAAGGCTTCGACTTTATCAGATATCTGCGTGGGTAGAATGGTTTTGGGACCCCCTCTGAGGTACCACCTTTTTTTCTTAAACAATAATAGAAATGGGTTAACGTGGTCGTCGGAATATTTTTTTTGTATGCTACCGCATAACTTTGGACCATGTTAAACGATTTCTATAATTATTTTTTTTTTAAAGGAAAGGTGTTACCTCACAGTTGGTCCCATACTAAGTTGGTTTAAATCCGATCATGGATGATGAAGAAATTAACGATAATCTTAAATTTTTATGTGAGAATTGAAGTTTTGTTTTTTGCTTAAGAATTACTTGTACTTTTTTCTGGAACTCCATTGACTGCAATAAATGCAAGGAGAACGCTTTAGCGGCTTTTTTCTGGCGAGAGAGCGAAGTGATACTAAAAAACAACTCGTGAGATTTGCTCATATGCATATGTATTTTCGTACATTTGTTTACATACATTCATGTGTCTCAAAACTCACTCACTAAGGCGTTGCCTTTCTATGTATAGAGGCTTTTACGATGTATGTATGTACGTACATACATACATAGCTACTACGCAAGTCTTACAATATTGCTCACATGATCACTAAAGGGTGTTATCTGACATCAGCTGACTGCGATATGCGCGAATTTTTCCCACATATGATAACTTTTTTATTTATGTAGGTATTCATTTCTGAAAAAACGAAACTAAACCAATATTAGAAATAATTCCAGTCAATTATAATATGTATGTAAGTGTGTATGTGCATACATTTGTATATGTACATAGCTTTTGCTTATGCAGTTGATTTTGGGATCATGTGACACACAACTTCTATACATACATACATATGTAGTACTTACCCTGCAAACCATTTTTTCAGAGTATTCTGAATCGTAAAGAATTTTTAAAGAATTCGGAAAGATCCCATCCGATTTTTTGCCGAATTTTCTAAAATGAAATAAATTACGCACACTTCCATTCTTTTACGAAATTTCAGAAGAAAATCGGTAAAGAAATGAAAATAATGCTGCTATGTGAAGAATTTCTTGCAGANGTACAGAAATTTCTTTACGAGTTCGTGTCAACCACTTCATATAATTTTCTTTGAAGATTCGGAAAAAAATCGTTACAGAAATCAGATACTCCTAAAGATTTCGTTAAGATTTCGGGAACTTTGGTTTGCAGGGTATTTGAAATTTTTTTAAAAATTTATCATTGAAAAATTTTTAAATTTAGACTTTTTACAAGCATTTGGTTTTTTTTTTAAATGGTATGGAATTTATTTTGTATACAAAAAATTATTCTTTTCGTCTTGAAAATTTTAAATTTAATATAAATAATTTTTTTTTAACAAACGAAAATTTAAACATTTTCTCCGAAAAAATTCCGAAAAAAAAAACATGTGAACGGATAACAGTAGTTTATTCACAATCATAACTTTAGTACGAGCTTAGATACACACTCCGTCGTATTCATACGTATTTATGTATATATGTATGTGGGGCATCTTACTGTTAGTAGAGGGATTTTTATCCTTAAGTAACTGTAAAGGATTGTAAGCTCAACATTAAATTTACACATCAACATTTTCTTCAAAAATATACCGTTTGGAAGATATTTAACATTTAATTGGTAAAATTGTGGTAAATTGTCTCTAATATGGCACTTTGAAGCAAGACTCGAGTTTTTCCAGATTATTTCAAAATAACTAAACTTCAACTAAATGAAATGGACACATTGAATAGATTTCTTTAATAACAAAAGTATATTTCGTTTAGCTGCCTGTTCATGCCGAAGGACATCAAGAGACGCACATTTCTGTTTTTTTTTAATGACATAAGAATACATGAATATAACTGTGTGTACCAAGTATCTACAAATGCATTTTAAAATTGAACTATGCTCTATGAAGGATTCAAGTAAAATTCATAATTATCTAATCTTTATCTGTATTTTCAATCTTGCCTGCATATTTTAATATTTAGAGGAGATCAAATGCAATTGTCAAAAACGTAAAACTCAACCAAAAATACCTTTTATTCTTTTTTTTAGCTCATTTGTTCATTTGGCTTGGGTCTAGACNTCAAATGCAATTGTCAAAAACGTAAAACTCAACCAAAAATACCTTTTATTCTTTTTTTTAGCTCATTTGTTCATTTGGCTTGGGTCTAGACTTTTACACGGGTTTTTGTTTATTTTTATTTTTATGTTTATGTATTTTATTTATTTGGTTGCAAAGATTATCTATATAAAAATAGCCTAAGCACTCGGGACGTCTCTTAATTTGTCTGTAAGTCTAAGTTTACTTTTTCTTTTTGCTTGCAGTGGGTTAGCAGCCAGACATCTTCATCAAGATGGGGGACATGTTCCGCAGTGAGGAAATGGCACTGTGCCAAATGTTCATACAACCGGAGGCTGCCTACACTTCTGTCTCGGAATTGGGCGAGACTGGTTGTGTGCAGTTTCGTGATGTAAGTACTGATTTTTGGACGCATACGCTTTTTGTTGCGTCATAATTATGTACATATTTATAACTAATGTGCCGCATTCTATTTGTCTTGAACAATCTAAAATTTTGCGTTTTTCCTATATTTTTCTACACAAAACTTGCAATCAAGAATATGCGTTTGGATTGATGGTTACATACTTGTATGCATACATACATACATATGTATATATTTTCACACATCTATTTTAAATATTTACATAGAATCGAATCTACATACATACATGCCTACGCACATATTTAAGACATTCTCTAGAGTGATACATATTTCGCATTTCTTTACAGCTGAACAGCAATGTCAATGCATTCCAGCGCAAATTCGTTACCGAGGTGCGCCGTTGCGATGAGCTCGAACGCAAAATACGTTACATTGAGGCAGAAATCAAGAAGGATGGCATTGTGTTGCAAGACATTCTTGACGACATTCCACGCGCTCCCAATCCACGCGAGATCATCGATCTAGAAGCTCATTTGGAGAAAACCGAAAATGAAATCCTCGAGTTGGCCCAAAATGAGGTTAATCTCAAGTCGAACTACTTGGAATTGACCGAATTGCGTAAGGTGCTCGAGAATACGCAAGGTTTCTTTTCCGATCAGGAGGTGCTCAACTTGGACTCAAGCAATCGCGGTCCGAATGCCGTTGAGGAAGTCGCCCCACAAAATCGTGGCCGCTTGGGTTTCGTTGCGGGCGTGATCAATCGCGAGCGTGTATTTGCGTTCGAGCGCATGCTTTGGCGTATTTCACGTGGCAACGTTTTCCTAAAACGTTCCGATTTGGATGACCCACTCAACGATCCCGCAACCGGCCATCCAATCTATAAGACCGTTTTTGTTGCCTTCTTCCAAGGTGAGCAGCTCAAGAATCGCATTAAGAAGGTGTGTACAGGCTTCCATGCGTCCATGTATCCATGCCCCAGTTCGCATACCGAGCGCGAAGAGATGGTCAAGGGTGTGCGTACACGTTTGGAAGATCTGAAGCTGGTCCTCAGCCAGACCGAAGACCATCGTAGTCGTGTGTTGGCCACCGTATCAAAGAACTTGCCATCTTGGTCGATTATGGTAAAGAAGATGAAGGCTATCTACCACACGCTAAACTTGTTCAACATGGATGTCACGAAGAAGTGTCTGATCGGCGAGTGCTGGGTGCCTACCAAGGATCTGCCCGTTGTGCAGAAAGCCTTGTCGGATGGCTCAGCTGCCGTGGGCAGTACAATACCGTCGTTCTTGAATGTGATTGACACCAACGAACAGCCACCAACATTCAATCGTACAAATAAATTCACACGCGGTTTCCAGACCTTGATTGATGCTTATGGTGTGGCCTCCTACCGGGAGGCTAATCCGGCTTTGTATACATGCATCACTTTCCCATTTTTATTCGCTGTGATGTTCGGCGATTTGGGTCATGGCGTGATTTTGACATTATTCGGCGGCTGGATGGTGTTGTACGAGAAGGGCTTACAAAGGAAGAAGGGTGGCGAAATCTGGAACATTTTCTTTGGCGGACGTTACATAATACTTTTAATGGGCCTGTTCTCTTGCTACACCGGCTTCATCTACAATGATATTTTCTCAAAATCGATGAACATCTTCGGATCTACATGGAAAGTGCGATACAATACATCAACCGTACTTGAAAACCCATCATTGCATTTGTCACCAAACTACAGCACCTATGGGGTTTATCCTGTGGGCTTAGATCCAATTTGGCAGTTAGCCGGTAACAAGATCATTTTCTTAAACACCTACAAAATGAAACTATCCATCATTGTGGGAGTGTCACACATGATTTTTGGTGTCTGCATGTCCGTGGTGAACTTTGTACACTTCAAACGTTATGCCAGTATAGTCTTGGAATTCCTGCCCCAAATTCTCTTCCTGCTCCTGCTCTTCGGATACATGGTATTCATGATGTTCTTCAAATGGATAAAATACAACCCGAAGACCTCCATCCAAGCGGATACACCTGGCTGTGCCCCATCCGTGTTGATTATGTTCATCAATATGATGTTGTTCAAAAGTACGCCCGCACCAGAAGGCTGCAATGAGTTCATGTTCTCGGCCCAGCCGGCCGTTCAGCAGTTGTTCGTCTATATCGGTTTACTGTGCATACCCTGGATGTTGCTGGGCAAGCCGCTGTTCATTAAATTCACACGCAAAAATAAAGTGCACGTAAGTGAATCTCTTGTAAAAATTTTCCAACATACCGAACTATGCCCATACATACATACATATATACATGTTTATTTTTTATTGACATGGGATTTGCTACTCTTTTATAGGTCAAACACAATGGCGATTTAACCGGCAATATCGAACTTGCCGAGGGCGAAACCCCAATACCAACAAGCCTCGATGACGCCAATCCCAGTGGCGGTGAACACGAGGAAGAACCCATGAGTGAAATCTACATTCACCAGGCCATTCATACCATTGAATATGTGCTCAGTACCATTTCACATACGGCCTCGTATTTGCGCTTGTGGGCCTTGTCGTTGGCTCATGCACGTAAGTATCTGCACCGACGCGCCGGTTATTTGAATCACTGTGACCAGATTCGAACTTCACATCAAAGATTCCAAATTCTTGAAAAGCGGTTGCGGCTAATTGTAACGATTCGTAGAATTGCAAAATTCTTTACGAAAATTCATGCATCGAAACAATCTAAACACAAAAAAATTGTATGGACATTAGATAGGCCCAAAAATATTTTTCCAAGTTAGGGTTGGGGGCACCTTCCAACATTTTTCCTCTTGTCGAAGGAGGTGCTGCCACCAAAGTTTACGTTTCTAAGTATAAATATAGAGGATGCTCATTAAACGTTTATGAAGTGTATTGTCCATATATTAACCAAACATCTGCATGAGTATCTAACCTAAGACCATTTCAAATTTAAATTAGCTGAAAAATTATTACCAACTTCAGTTGTAATGGCAACACTAGCTTTTTATAAAAATCGTCAATATTTTCGTCAGTCTCAAAGGGATTCAAGGACCCTGCATTGGTTTCAGTATAAAATTTAAAGTTTGTATAGATATTACAAATAACAAAAGGAGAAATGTTTGACCCCGTTCAAAATTTGGACCACTCTAATGTACATACATATATGCGTACAGACCTAGGAATCTAGCCTTAGCTGTGGTCGACAGAAGATCCTTTGTTTAGTTCTTAGCATTTACAGTAAATGTAATGGAGTCTTGCAGGCAGATCATTTCATTTGCTTTCTTAAGTTTAGTGTCAAATATTCGCATATATCGCATTTCGCAATGAACCTTCAAGGGATTATTTTTTAAATGTTAGAAAATCTGCATTGGTTTATTAAAACTTCTAAGCATTTGCCACTTAAGTACAAAAAAACGCTAGATCCAGCTGCAGGAATAATAGTCTGGCCACACTTATTTGAATGATCTCAAACTACATATACATATATGTACATATGTATGTATGTATGTTTGCATGTAAATACACATAACACATAATAAATGGTTTACTCTACTACTACGTTGCAGAACTGTCCGAGGTCTTGTGGAACATGGTGTTATCAATGGGCCTGAAGAGCTCAAGCTATACTGGTGCCATCGCCTTGTATTTCATCTTTGGCGCCTGGTGTTTGTTCACCCTGGCCATCTTGGTCATGATGGAAGGTCTTTCGGCTTTCTTGCACACACTGCGTTTGCATTGGTGAGTGAAAAAACGTGACAAATGCAGTTCTAATGTAACTAATCCATATACATATGTATTTTCTTTGCTTACAGGGTGGAATTCATGAGCAAATTCTACGAAGGCTTGGGCTATGCCTTCCAACCGTTCAGTTTCAAAGCAATATTAGACGGCGAAGAGGAAGAATAAACGAAAGACGTCCGTCCTCCTCCGAAATTCCTAAATATGTACTCGCTTATTTAATGCGATATCAGTATTGTGGTACTCTTCCCACTTTCACTTTAAAGTGCCTTACATTTAGTTTTGTGTCTTTTGGTTTCATGTCCGTCCGTGTTATGTTTATATAAGAACTTATACATATGTATGTATCTAATTGATTTTTTGTTTAAATGTGTATCATTGATGCATCATAAATTGCTTGCATTTTCTTAAAAATCATAAAATAAAAAAAACGTTTGTTAGTGTTGCGATTTAATTTTGCGAATTACTAAATCGAAATGCAAACAATTTATGTTGTAGACATGTACCTAAGTTCGATATTATTGTTCAATAAAGTTTTTAGAAGAGATTAAAGCAAGAAAATTGCTAATAGTGTTTTTCTACTTCACTATAATAAGTAAGGACTCACCAGGAATGCTTGAAGATCACACATTTTGTTCCCATTTCCAGTATACATAGTAATTAAGGAAGAATACAATAATAAATGGTTTTTATTTTGGTGCTACCGCATACGGTTCACTACTGAAACTGAAAATAATCACCTCTACGAGTATTCTTCGACTTAACTTGTGCATGAAGTGAAGGAGAACGTATGTATGTGTATAAATCCATCAATCAGTGCAGTCGATACTATCACTGACCACTTTTTGATAAGTAAAAATATATAAGTAAATTAGTGCAGTGGTTCTCAAATTGTGGTAGGCGATGCCTGCATAAAGGTGTTCTTACACGCTATGTACATATTTGCATCTGTAAATGTGACTTTTTCAATACACATGTAATTGCGTATGTCTGTCAAATTCACAGTCTTTATTTAACTATCTCTTTGAAAACGAAATAAACTAAACTGAGATGATTCTATCTGTGTGTCAGATGAAAATAGAAACATTACTATTTCGCATGTATGTACATACGTGCATCTGCTTTGTACAGAAACTAATCTAATTTACCTTTACACCATATGTTGGCATTTCCATATGTAATATGTATGTAAAAAATGGCATGTACACATGCAAATACCTATTGTGTATGAACACCTTAAGTGTACCGCGGTGCAGTGAGCTTGATTTCAAAGTATTACAGTTTTAAAATGCATTTTGAAACTAAAACATAGTTTAAACGCTCGAGCTAACTGGTTTATACCAAGATAAACAGCTCAAATTTCAGCCATCTGTTAAATATTTATAAACGAGGTTTACGTGATCTAAGTTTAACTGGCACTGAAAAACTAGCCCTTGGTTTTTAGCCGAGAAAATATCTGAAGAATTTTGTTGTGCAGGGTGGAAATATTAATCAAACTTGAATGTGATGAGAAGTTTCTGCAGATAGTCTTGCTACTACAATAACCTAACCTAACCTAACCTAATGTTATCCTTTCGCCTACCAGACTATGCAAACGTTTGCATTTAAGGAGGCAGTAAGGTACATTAAAGAGAATATACCAGCGCGAACGCAGGTGAATATGTTTTCGTATAGCCGAGCGGCTATTTCGGCACTCTCTTCTACCTCTGTAAGATCGCAACTATTCAATATGAAATTACCCTAATATGGGTTCCGGGACATAGGGAAATTCACGGCCACGAGACAATGGACAAACTAGCAAGGAGCAGCTCCGTACTGAATGTGTCCCACGTGGTGCACATGGGGGTTTCGCTAAGGCCAAGCGGGGGTGGAACCGTTTAGGATAACCCGACAGTTCTTGTGTATTACAGTCCACTTAAAACCAAAACTCTCTTAGGAATGAGCAAAGAAGATACCTACAAACTTACTGCAGTGTACATACGGCATTGTCCCTTGTATTGCCCTTCAGCAGGTTCTATCGTAGTTGCGAAGACCCTGGCTTAAAAGAGCAAGTCGTCCCCCTCAATTGCGGTTTCAGTGTCACCACTCATTGAATATTTACTTGACATTCAAGACAATTTTCATTCTTTGAAGGATTGTGACGAGATTCGCATATGATTACATGACCACGGGGAATATTCATATACGATTTCGCGAGGATTTATTTTATAATTGATACAGATTGTAAGACTTCCAGAATAGGGAACATCTTCAGGCTGCCAAAAGTGTTTGAGTTAGAATTTTTCTTAAAAAAACTCGATCAATGTAGTTTTCTCGATTACCTTTTTTAAGGCCACTTTTTGGGATGTATCTACTCGTGGTGAATCGTGCATTATTTTGAGTGGCCAGATAACTTTTTGCCTAAAATGCTATCGTGAAACTGGCTGTTAAAAGGGGAATTTATCAGATGACTGCCTTGTCCATTTAGGTATGATCTAAATTTGTCTAATATTTTTTTTTTGCGCAATAGCTGTCATCGGTTCCATTTGTTCACAGAAGGTATGCGAGAAGAAAAGTTTGAGCACCGGTGCCTTAAAGTGTAAGATATATGTATGTGTGTACATTAGGGTGGTCCAAAAATGCATGTAAAAAAGTAAATTCGGAGTTTTTATGTTCTCACCCCCTAAAATAGTTCTATATCGAAAAAATGTATAACCTTATTTTTTTATTTTGAAATCAAAAAGTAAAAGCGCCCCATTTTTCCCACGTATTTTGTACGGGGAAACAACAACTTTTTTTGGAAATCGTATGGAATTCTTGAAAATCAATACTTTACGATCGGAATACTCTGTTTCTCTTCAACAGATTCCCAATAATAAAACCCAATTTTTTTTAAACAATTTTTTCTTAGTAACTTTATATTTTACCACCGCCAAAACCCCTAGAAAATGCGAGAAAATCCAAGGGTGGAAGGGGGGTATTAAAAAATCTTCATTCTTAAAAAATGGTTAAATAAATAATTGGGTATTGTTATTGGAAGTCTCCTGAAGGGAACCAAAGTTTTCCGATCGAAAAATATTGATTTTTAAGAATTCCATACCATTTCCACGAAAAGTTACTTCTTTCCCATACAAAATACTTGGAAAAGTTGGAGCGCTTTGAGCGACCTCTAAATATTTTTTGATTTCAAAATAAAAAAATAGGGGTATACTTTTTTCGATAAAGAGCAATCCTAGGGGTGAGAGCAGTAAAATTTCGACTTTACTTATTTTGAACCAGCCTAATGTCTATACATATCTACATACAGGTGGATGTAACTCTGTGGAATTATGACAACCGTCGCACAGTGGTCCGAGTGGCAGAAAGTCGTAATTTCGAAATGTGTGGAAATAGCCATCTTAGTGGTTGTCTCAATTCTAAGCATGACAAAGGAAGCCGGTGGTGGGTTCTTTATACAAAAATACTTTGTATAACGGTTGCCTCCATGTCGTCAATCTTCCATAGAGAGAACGCTTCACACTGGCAGATCCCTATAAAAAATCGCAGGTAAAGGTGTTATTTGAACCACTTTGGCTAAGGAAAGTAACAGTATGAAATCTGGTAAAAACTAGCTAACTGCCACGCCTACTACACAAGAGGGCGGATATGGTAAAAGTTATCTAATTCCGATGAAATTCGGTTTGTAACTTGGACTAAGCTAGGAAGACATATATCTGAAATATGGTGAAAATCGGTCAACTGCCACGCCCACCAGCTATCCGAATTTTGTATTCTAATGTGGCAAGGACCCAGCAAAATAGCAAACATTTGGTGCAAGATCTATTTTTGCATAAAAATCCGGAAATTTAAAAAAATGTGTGGATTGGCAACCAACCACGCCCTCCCTCCCCCACTCAACTCGGCGGGGTTGGGAAATACTATCCGATTTTATTAAAATGGATTTGTACCTTTCTCCGAAGGGGCGTTGCTGGTCGCCAATTCACACAATTTGGTATATATCTCGGGGTTTTATGGAAAAATATATTTTGGATGATCATTACCACTTCTCACCACATTAGAATCCAGAATTCCGATGGCTGCTGGGCGTGCCAGTTGACCGATTTTCACCATCATTCAGATACATACATTTATGTCTTCGAAGGTTAATCTAAGTTACAAATCTAATTTCATGTGAAATTGGATAAAATTTACTATATCCGCCCCCTGGTGTAGTGGGCGTGACAGTCCGCCAAATTCAACAATTTTTTTTTTATTTATTGATTCCTCGACAAAAGCAGATTACAATTTTCAGCGAATTCGGAGCACATTTGCTACTTTTTGCCAAATTTTATATGGAGCTCTTCCTCTGTGCGTCGTACAAAATCGAGCATTGGTCATTTTATCTCTAATAGTTTACCAATCATAATGGCTTTTTAATACCAATGGCGCCTTAGCAGCGGTACAAGTACATACATACATACGTACTTGTTTAGTGAGCCAGCTCTGGTCTCCTCACGAGTGCAGGTCCAACGTGACGACTTCCCCGTTTCTTCGGTTTGCATGATTGATTGGTTGGAAAAGGTTGCCTTAATTGGAATTTAAGATTCGAAATTAAGTCCAGAATATGAATTCAGTGTCTTTTAGCCGCTCTAGTGAGGTGTACGTTGCAGATCTAAATTAAAAATTTGCTTTCGAGGTGAATTGATTGAATTTGATTTGAGTAAGTTCTTTTTGATGAATTACGAATTTATTAAAGCCTGGTGAGATGTGTACTTTAAGTAAAATTTTTGCACAAGTTAATTTAGATTGTTCATAAAATGCCTGCGTTTACTTACACTAATTAGCAAAAGCAATTTTAAAAAACTTCTAAATGTTTTGATATTTTTTTATTGGTTGCAGAATGCGTATAACCTTTGAATTACATATTAATATGATAGGATAGTTATTTTAAAATTTGTGGCATTTTTAATACCTTTATAAGAGGTGAACATGCCTCACAAAGTACTTCCAATTTTTCTCTATTTCTNTCACGAGTGCAGGTCCAACGTGACGACTTCCCCGTTTCTTCGGTTTGCATGATTGATTGGTTGGAAAAGGTTGCCTTAATTGGAATTTAAGATTCGAAATTAAGTCCAGAATATGAATTCAGTGTCTTTTAGCCGCTCTAGTGAGGTGTACGTTGCAGATCTAAATTAAAAATTTGCTTTCGAGGTGAATTGATTGAATTTGATTTGAGTAAGTTCTTTTTGATGAATTACGAATTTATTAAAGCCTGGTGAGATGTGTACTTTAAGTAAAATTTTTGCACAAGTTAATTTAGATTGTTCATAAAATGCCTGCGTTTACTTACACTAATTAGCAAAAGCAATTTTAAAAAACTTCTAAATGTTTTGATATTTTTTTATTGGTTGCAGAATGCGTATAACCTTTGAATTACATATTAATATGATAGGATAGTTATTTTAAAATTTGTGGCATTTTTACTTCCAATTTTTCTCTATTTCTGTACAAAATCCATTTTCACCATTAGTATTGCTTGTGCAATAATTATACGTGATCGCTGCAAAAAGTGTACGAATAATTTAAACAAAATCTGAAATGCAACAGACATGATGATCAGGACCGCTAAGTTGTAAGCGTTTGCTTGGAATTGCTTATTCAGGGTTTTCAGGATTTTTTCGTGCTTATATTCTTCGGCCCTGATAAAGACATATTTATAACGTACTATTTTCTTTTTTCTAAATATGTGCATGGTACGTTTTTATATTTTCTTTAAAAGTATGTAATATTTTTATCATTATGTCTAACGATTACAAATTTTCAATTTACATAAGTTTTTAAACTTTTGGCCAATTTTGCCAAGCTCAATTAAATACAGGTTAATAAATGAAAATTTTCTAATTTCACATCATTAATTATGCACAGAAAAAAGAAAAATTTACATATTGTGCTACAGTGTTATACCTATACATGATACAAAATATTTAAAGGTAGTTTCACTTCTTCTTCTTAGCCGCCATTGCTCCCATTTGACGAAAACTGTGCTTATCACATTTTCCTTTAAATTGATGCTAACATATTCTTTGAAGAAATTGGGCGTGTTTCTAAGGCGTAGCCGTTGTTAAACTGTTGAGTGTTTGTTTTTAGAAACGCATAGTTGAGTAGTTCCGCTCAGTTCAGCGGTTGTGGATTCGACGCCATTTTTTCCATCATAAAACTATTTCGCTACACGAACTCAACCATTCGCAGCAGACGAATTTGAATAACTCACTGAAACCGTGCCCTTGCAGACTCTTGGCAAATAAATGTGAAAAAAATAGTCATGGTGCTAGCAAGTCAAGATTCCCTGTGGTGTGTGTGGAACCGTGTTTATTTGGGTATAGCGCGCTCTGGCACTCGTTGGGTTGGTAAACGCAACGCTAGGCGCTCCAATTTAGGAATGAAAGTTACGTACATTAGCGCACACAAGGGCCCACCCCTTTTTTTTTTGGATTTTTAATAATCAAGTAATCTTTAAGCTAAAACACAACCGACTTAAATTCTCATATATGTACAAATATAGGAGTATCGTTAATTTTTTCATGATCCAATGATCGGATCTAAACCAAATTATGGGACGACCCTTGAGGTACCAACTTTCCGATAAAAAAGAATTAGGTTAACGTAGTCCAAAGTTATGCGGTAGCATACATACCTCCCACATTTTTTGAAGTCGATTAAAAATGTTTGAGTTCTTTGTTAATTTCATGTAAGTAAAGTTCAATTTATGAAACTTTAACAAGTTTATTTATTTATCACATACCGTAACTAAAAGTTGCATTAATGTATTTTAAAGAGCATATTATCTGAAGCGAATTTTCGGTATTTTCTGGTGACGTATTTTTAGAAGTATAAATCGTCCCCCAAAATATATTCATGTATATTTTCAAATCTGCACCACCGATTTTAGGCGATTATGAACCAAAAAGGATTTATTAATAATTTTTGTGGTAGACCATCTGAAATACATACATATGTATGTATATTGATGTGTGGTCACATAGCCTACTTTCTACTTGGCTACATACATATGTATATACAGATTTCTTCAAATAATAGTAGTTTACAAAGCAGTTTTGATTACATCTAGTTATGATTCCATTTTAATGCAAGGTGACCCAAAATAATTGATCCAANTTTTTTTTTGGATTTTTAATAATCAAGTAATCTTTAAGCTAAAACACAACCGACTTAAATTCTCATATATGTACAAATATAGGAGTATCGTTAATTTTTTCATGATCCAATGATCGGATCTAAACCAAATTATGGGACGACCCTTGAGGTACCAACTTTCCGATAAAAAAGAATTAGGTTAACGTAGTCCAAAGTTATGCGGTAGCATACATACCTCCCACATTTTTTGAAGTCGATTAAAAATGTTTGAGTTCTTTGTTAATTTCATGTAAGTAAAGTTCAATTTATGAAACTTTAACAAGTTTATTTATTTATCACATACCGTAACTAAAAGTTGCATTAATGTATTTTAAAGAGCATATTATCTGAAGCGAATTTTCGGTATTTTCTGGTGACGTATTTTTAGAAGTATAAATCGTCCCCCAAAATATATTCATGTATATTTTCAAATCTGCACCACCGATTTTAGGCGATTATGAACCAAAAAGGATTTATTAATAATTTTTGTGGTAGACCATCTGAAATACATACATATGTATGTATATTGATGTGTGGTCACATAGCCTACTTTCTACTTGGCTACATACATATGTATATACAGATTTCTTCAAATAATAGTAGTTTACAAAGCAGTTTTGATTACATCTAGTTATGATTCCATTTTAATGCAAGGTGACCCAAAATAATTGATCCAATGTTCTTTGGCTTAGGCCTTTAGATATTATTACCTTATATTTGGAAGATATATAGCCCTTTTATGGCATTTTCCATGGTTTTTATAGCAACACTTTTGGCGATACGATAAGTTCTGCATTCCTTGACGTGTATTCTCTTTAAGTAGCTTCCAGGGTTTAAGTATTATTTATATAAATCCCCATAGAAAAAAGTCGGTGATGGTGAATCAAGTGATCTTGCCGGGCAGTGAATATCGCTAAAACGCGATATCAAACGTGTATAGTATTTAGACACAATCATTCCGCACTCTTGAGGAGTGTAGCGCTAAATGGTTTCTTTGTGTAAATTCTTGTGTCATGAATGAACTGACATTCACCTCCCAACAGGGTCATTTACTATTACCAAAAAATTAGAAAAATATATCTCAGTGTTCTTTTCTTTCTTATAAATTAACGGATAATGTCTTTGCCCTCCTGCTCATCTTCAGAGTTTAGCAAACCGTTTCAATGGGGGATATGTTTCGCAGCGAAAAGATGGCCTTGTGCCAGCTTTTTATCCAACCTGAAGCTGGTTATACTACCATTTCTGAGTTAGGCGAGATCGGTTGTGTACAGTTTCGTGACGTGAGTTTTGTACTGTCATATGTATATGTGTTTTTTTTTTGAAGTTTACCTAATTTCAGTTGAATACCAATGTCAATTCCTTTCAACGACGATACGTCAGTGAGGTGCGACGTTGCGATGAGCTTGAGCGACAAATGCATTACATTGAAAATGAACTGAAGAAGGATGGTGTGGTATTGCCCGAGTTAACAGAGAACCCTCCACGTGCGCCGAATCCTCGTGAAATAAGCGACCTTGAGACTACTATGGATAGAGTAGAGACGGAAATACGCGAGCTCGCTCAAAATAATGAAAATCTGAAGTTAAACTACTTGGAACTTACTGAGTTATGCATGGTTTTAGATAAAACACAAAATTTCTTTCGAGATGTTATGGACACTCCGTTCCACTTTGGTGATAATGAGACGCAGCCGCACGTGGGACAAGGACAATTGGGTTTCGTGGCTGGCGTCTTGAATCGCGAGCGTTCGTTCGCTTTTGAGCGTATGTTGTGGCGCATCTCGCGCGGTAACGTATTTGTGAGGCGCGTTGATTTGGAAGAACCTTCCTTAGATCCAAACACTGGTCTTCAGGTATACAAGACAGTTTTCGTTGTGTTTTATCAGGGAGCGCAATTGAACACACGCATCAAGAAAGTATGCAATGGCTTCCGTTCTTCACTTTATCCCTGTCCGGCGGAGCGTGCCGAGCGTGAAGAAATGCTGCGCGGCGTAAAGACACGTTTGGAGGACTTGAAGTTGGTGATGAGTCAAACTGCTGATCATAGGCGTTTAGTGCTGTCCAACACTATCAAAAATCTACCACGGTGGATTATAATGGTCAAGAAAATGAAGGCCATATACCACATGCTCAATATGTGCAATGTGGACGTGACTAAAAAGTGTCTTATAGCCGAGGGCTGGGTGCCAAGGAAAGACCTGACGAATGTTACGGACGCGCTGGCAGTTGGCTCGGCAGCTGTGGGCAGTACAGTGCCGTCGTTTCTAAATGAGCTGGAGACACAGAAATCACCACCCACTTTTAATCGTGTCAATAAGTTTACGGACGGTTTTCAGCATCTGATCGACGCCTATGGTATGGCCGACTATCGGGAAGTAAATCCGGCGCTCTACACTTGCATTACGTTCCCCTTCCTCTTTGCGGTTATGTTCGGCGATTTAGGCCATGGCTTCTGTATATTTCTTTTTGCGCTCTGGATGGTTTTAGATGAGCAGCGTTTAAGCAAGAAGCGTGGAGGTGAAATCTGGAATATATTTTTCGGTGGCCGTTATATCATTTTGCTATTGGGGCTGTTCTCCATGTACACAGGCTTCTTGTATAATGACATATTTTCCAAGTCTCTCAATGTTTTCGGGTCTACTTGGAGGGTGCGCTACAATCGTACTACCGTGCTGGAAAATCCGAATCTGGTATTAGACCCAGCAGTCGCCTCTTTTGGAGTCTACCCGCTGGGTGTAGATCCCATTTGGCAATTGGCCGATAACAAAATTATTTTCCTTAACTCACTGAAAATGAAAATGTCAATTATTCTTGGGGTGGCGCATATGATATTTGGCGTCTGCCTGTCGGTGGTCAACTTTATGCACTTCAAGAAATACGCGCTGATCTTTTTGGAATTTTTGCCCCAAATACTATTCTTGATTTTGCTCTTCGGTTACATGTGTTTCATGATGTTTTACAAGTGGGTGAAATATGGACCAAAGACCGATTATTTGCCCGATTCGCCCGGTTGCGCGCCGTCGGTGCTAATATATTTCATTAATATGATGCTATTCAGTGCATCGGCACAGCTAGAGGGCTGCGATGAGTACATGTTTGACGCACAGCCGCTTCTTGAAAAGGTCTTTGTTGTGTTGGCTGTTCTCTGCATTCCGTGGATTCTGCTGGGCAAACCGCTCTACATAACGGTTGTGAGGAGACTTCAAGTAAGTTTACGAGTTACATACACATATGTACATACATATAACCGTACATGTGCATATGTCCGTTTTGTTTTTTTTTTTTACAGGCAAAACGGCAGCACAACTCACCTTTGGGCAAATTAGAAGCGGAAGACGGTGGCCATCATGGCGCAGTTGGTACAGATGATGAAGAGGACGAGCCAATGAGCGAAATTTGGATACACCAAGCTATACATATGATTGAATATATCCTGAGTACCATATCGCACACCGCTTCATATTTGCGTTTGTGGGCTTTATCGTTGGCGCATGCGGGTGCGTATATGTACATACATATGTACATATGTATGTAGCTCGATCGAGCATATTGAATTGCTANTATTTGCCCGATTCGCCCGGTTGCGCGCCGTCGGTGCTAATATATTTCATTAATATGATGCTATTCAGTGCATCGGCACAGCTAGAGGGCTGCGATGAGTACATGTTTGACGCACAGCCGCTTCTTGAAAAGGTCTTTGTTGTGTTGGCTGTTCTCTGCATTCCGTGGATTCTGCTGGGCAAACCGCTCTACATAACGGTTGTGAGGAAACTTCAAGTAAGTTTACGAGTTACATACACATATGTACATACATATAACCGTACATGTGCATATGTCCGTTTTGTTTTTTTTTTTTACAGGCAAAACGGCAGCACAACTCACCTTTGGGCAAATTAGAAGCGGAAGACGGTGGCCATCATGGCGCAGTTGGTACAGATGATGAAGAGGACGAGCCAATGAGCGAAATTTGGATACACCAAGCTATACATATGATTGAATATATCCTGAGTACCATATCGCACACCGCTTCATATTTGCGTTTGTGGGCTTTATCGTTGGCGCATGCGGGTGCGTATATGTACATACATATGTACGTCCATATGTATGTAGCTGCTAAAAATCGTTTTTGAGGTTCAGCCGATATTTCAAATGTGTTTTAGAACTTTCCGAAGTACTGTGGAATATGGTGCTCTCCGAGGGTCTTAAATTAGGCGGCTACCCATCGGCGATCGCCTTGTACTTCATATTTGGAGCTTGGGTTTTGCTGACGATAGCTATCATGATTTTGATGGAGGGCTTGTCGGCCTTTTTGCATACTTTGCGCTTACATTGGTAAGATTTGATGAAATTAATGAAATCGTGAAATACCAAACCGAATATGTATTATTTCAGGGTTGAATTTATGAGTAAATTCTATTCTGGCGCAGGGTATGCCTTTATGCCGTTCAGTTTCAAAATTTTATTGCGAAGTGAAGACGACGACTGAACACTTTTTCAACTGTCTAGTTAAACGCTGTAGTTTGGCAATAAATACCGTCAAATCACTAATTAGATATACNAATTTTATTGCGAAGTGAAGACGACGACTGAACACTTTTTCAACTGTCTAATTAAACGCTGTAGTTTGGCAATAAATACCGTTTTGATTGTCAAATCACTAATTAGATATAAACATTTTAATAAACAATTATTGTTATGTTGCTGCATTACATTAAATATTTATGTTGATGATTTCCTCTCCGTTTTGCAGATTTTCCGCAGCACTGCATTTTTTGCATTATACAATTAATTAATTTTTTGAGCAAAGAAAGACGTTTTTCTTTTCTTATAAAGAACTAAAAACTAACAAGTAAAGAAGTTAAGTTATGCCCATACAATTTGTATGAAGCATCTCACAAAAACGCTATTCAAACAATTTGGAAAAGTCCATTTCTTCCTAAGAAGTTAATGTAAACATCGATTTTGAATGAGTTGGCTTCAGGACGAGTAGTTTTTTATGTAATTATTTTAGTTTTATTTTTCTGAAAATCACCGTTNAAACTAACAAGTAAAGAAGTTAAGTTATGCCCATACAATTTGTATGAAGCATCTCACAAAAACGCTATTCAAACAATTTGGAAAAGTCCATTTCTTCCTAAGAAGTTAATGTAAACATCGATTTTGAATGAGTTGGCTTCGGGACGAGTAGTTTTTTATGTAATTATTTTAGTTTTATTTTTCTGAAAATCACCGTTTTTATATGAGTTTGCCTATTTTCAATGCCATCCGTCTTAGCCTCAGACATCTATCCTATTCCGTTGCCGTTCGAAAGACTATCTTAATTTGATGAACTATGATTTATTTTGGAAGGAATTTCCGCCATTCCTTGATTTGTCATATATAATACATAATAAATAGGGGCGGCTCTGATCGAGGATAGTTTGCCGGACATAGCGCTGGCTTACGAGTAGTAGATAGTTAAAATAATTCATTAAGCTAAGATAGTCCTTTGCACGGTGTTCAAGATAGAATATATTGACGTTCATCGACCAGATCAGATAAAGTAGCTCGGAGTCACAGCAACGCGTGGACCATGTTTCGCTAAAATAACAAATTGTTTAGCCGATTTATCGAATGCACAGGCACTTGGGCGGTTAGACAGAGATAGGTTCATTCATTAATCTTTTGATTCTATTACAAAGTTACAAGTTCAAATCATTTGTTTTTATATTTTGATATTTTCTTGAATTCTGTAAATTCTTAAAAGTGAAATCGTGGCACAGCTATATAGTCTGGACTCTTTTCAAACTCACCTAAGTAAATNATTATTGTTATGTTGCTGCATTACATTAAATATTTATGTTGATGATTTCCTCTCCGTTTTGCAGATTTTCCGCAGCACTGCATTTTTTGCATTATACAATTAATTAATTTTTTGAGCAAAGAAACACGTTTTTCTTTTCTTATAAAGAACTAAAAACTAACAAGTAAAGAAGTTAAGTTATGCCCATACAATTTGTATGAAGCATCTCACAAAAACGCTATTCAAACAATTTGGAAAAATCAATTTCTTCCTAAGAAGTTAATGTAAACATCGATTTTGAATGAGTTGGCTTCAGGACGAGTAGTTTTTTATGTAATTATTTTAGTTTTATTTTTCTGAAAATCACCGTTTTTATATGAGTTTGCCTATTTTCAATGCCATCCGTCTTAGCCTCAGACAAACCGATGGCCCCGAGCTACTTTATGTCATCTCGGCAATCTATCCTATACCGTTGCCGTTCGAAAGACTATCTTAATTTGATGAACTATGATTTATTTTGGAAGGAATTTCCGCCATTCCTTGATTTGTCATATATAATACATAATAAATAGGGGCGGCTCTGATCGAGGATAGTTTGCCGGACATAGCGCTGGCTTACGAGTAGTAGATAGTTAAAATAATTCATTAAGCTAAGATAGTCCTTTGCACGGTGTTCAAGATAGAATATATTGACGTTCATCGACCAGATCAGATAAAGTAGCTCGGAGTCACTGCAACGCGTGGACCATGTTTCGCTAAAATAACAAATTGTTTAGCCGATTTATCGAATGCACAGGCACTTGGGCGGTTAGACAGAGATAGGTTCATTCATTAATCTTTTGATTCTATTACAAAGTTACAAGTTCAAATAATTTGTTTTTATATTTAGATATTTTATTGAATTCTGTAAATTGTTAAAAGTGAAATCGCGGCACAGCTATGTAGTCTGGACTCTTTTCAAACTCACCTAAGTAAATCCAACGTGTACCCTTAGAAGTCTTAACAAACTGATTTCCAAATATTAACTGACAAGGCTGAAAGATTTTACAGCTGTATCTCTACAAATGAGCCGCCTGAATATTTTGTATAAATAATTTTTGAAATCGATCAATCAATGAGATTAGCCATGCTTTTGCCCTGAAAGAAAGGTTGGTCCGTACTTTATATACATGTATATATGTATGTATGTATGCACATTAGGGTGATCCAAATAACTAACCTAATGAGTTTATGGCCTTAAAAGGACCTATTTACTGAGAAGAAAATTCTCCCGTTTGGAAAAATTTGTATTCCGATTTTAAAAGGTGTCGGTGGGCAGCTGAAATTTTCCATGTAAATATGAAAATATGTTTTTTCTTTAAAAATGCCATCAATATTTTTTTCTTGTGGGGGAACAAAAAAACTGCCTTACTTACTTTTTAGTCCATTTATAGAAACGTGGTATAGATATTAAAGAGTTCTATTTTATGGAACGTTACTTTTTAGGAAGAGGAGCTAGCTTATGGACTTCTTGTCATGGTATTACTGTTGGTAGATGGGTTTGTAACTACTGTGCCTTCGTTCCAGTTTTTTCTCCCATAGAAGAGCTTGCCCATAACTCTTGTTGAGGCGAGGATGGCAGCTTATTTCGGCAGCTAGAGATCCGAGTAGGCTAATTAGCTCTACAGAGCTCCGGTATCCGAAGCACCCCATCCGCGGCTGGTCTATATGAAGGGCCTCATCCTGGATGACCCTTAGAAAGGGTCCTACAAAATATTGATCCAGTCCTGAAAATCGAAAGATATAGGGTTTATGTACTCAGAAGATTTCGGTGAGATGAATATGCAAGGTAACTAGAAAAAAATAAAATTATTACAAAATGTTTGCCTTTGAGAATTTAAAACGTAGGTTTGTCACGACTAAGCTTGGATAGCTCTCTGCCACAGGCGGACATCAAGATGGTTTGTAACTCGTTATCGACTTTCATGTAGGGAGCCAATCCCTTAATTAATGATTTCAGTACAAGTTGTTAGACAGAATTTTAAACTTCAAGTCTACACAAGTCATCATGGTTCTACAGTGGTAAAACTTTATAAAAAAAATCGTACTATGATTGCACATATCTACATATACATATGCCAACTTAATTAATTAATAAATAATTGTAGCACCTTTCCCTATTTTTTTTTTGAGTAGTTACGATAAAACCGAAGCTAAGCAGAGTGAAGAAAATGGTAAACGGTTAAAAATAAGAGTACATACAATGTACATAAATAGAGTAAATTGATTATTCTCTCGGCAATTAACGAACTAATGCCAACTGATTGATTGGAAACCTATGGCTCAAATTGTTCGTCATAATCATACAAAATTTGATTTCACCAAAATACATGAAATAATGAAGACCGTTTAGTTCCAGTGTGGCATTGAGTGAATATAGTAGGCGGTTACAAGTCGAACGGCGCAGCAGTACAGTAAGTTGAGAATTTCTTAGTTAACAACATTTTGTGTACCAAAGGATATATTTAACTTAGTAAAATAAATTTAATTGTTTCGTCATCAGGCAGACACACCGTTCCAAAATGGGCAGCATGTTTCGCAGCGAAAAGATGTCGCTGTGCCAAATCTTTCTGGCACCGGAAGCGGCCTACAATAACATGGCAGATTTGGGTGAACTGGGTTGTGTGCAATTTCGTGATGTAGGTTGAGAAAATTTACTTTTGCATTTTTACGCTAAGGTCCCGTGCACACAGACAGCTTACGGCTGAAACAAGCACTGCTTCTTAATTAATTATACGCTTGCTGAACACCGAACACTAAGAAAAGAGTTTAGTAACGTCAACTAAATATGTCTCTCTCAACGCATTATTTGGTTATAGCTACCAAATCATTAGTTGAGTGAAAAATATTCTTTTTTGTGAGTGCATGTTGGGCTTATGGTTTCTTAGCCCTGCCTCAAGCTCAATTAAAAATAGATCCGGGAAATGTGCTGTTTGAACGAGGCCAACCTAAGTTATGTGTTAGTTAGGTGTTCATCTTCCAGTTCAGCTACAAGTTCATCCTGAGCCAGATGATTTACTCTTCTTTTGTATGAATGTCTTTTTCTCTCTGCAGCTAAATAATGAAGTCACAGCTTTTCAGCGTAGATTTGTTAGTGAAGTCCGCCGGTGCGATGAGATGGAACGTCAAATGCGTTATATAACTAGGGAGCTAGAGAAGGATGGAATAAAGCTGCAGGATGTCTACGATGATATACCGAGCGCACCGAATCCACGTGATTCGGCCGACTTGGAGGCGCACCTCGAGAAGGCCGAGTACGAAATTCGCGAAATGTCGGAAAATGATATCAATTTGAAATCGAATTTGCTAGAGCTCACCGAACTCTGCAAGGTGATTGAAAAGACTCAAGACTTCTTTATTGAACAAACGGTACTTAATATGGAGGAACATGCGAACAGCGGCACTTTCACTGGTGAACGACGTGGTTANAGAGCTCACCGAACTCTGCAAGGTGATTGAAAAGACTCAAGACTTCTTTACTGAACAAACGGTACTTAATATGGAGGAACATGCGAACAGCGGCACTTTCACTGGTGAACGACGTGGTTGCTTGGGCTTCATTGCCGGTGTAATAAATCGCCAACGTCTCTTCGCATTCGAACGCATGTTGTGGCGTATTTCTCGCGGCAACATTTTAGTGAAACATGCTGATATCGAAGAGCCCTTGCACGACCCACGCACGGGCAATAGGACCTTTAAGACGGCTTTTGTAGTATTTTACCAGGGCGAACAATTGAATGCTCGCATTAAGAAGGTGTGTACCGGCTTCCATGCCTCCCTCTATCCCTGCCCAAACGTTCACGATGAACGCGAAGATATGCTGAAAGGGGTGAAGAAACGCTTGGAAGATCTGAAGTTGGTATTGAAGCGGACCGAGGATCAGCGCAATTGCATATTGGCGGGCATAGCCAAACATCTGCCTATTTGGTCCATTAAAATAACTAAAATGAAGGCCATTTATCACACCCTGAACTACTTCAATATAGATGTAACAAGCAAATGTTTGATCGGCGAGTGCTGGGTGCCGACTATGGATCTAGAATTGGTGCAACAAACAATCGCAAATGGCTCGGCCAATGTAGGCAGTACGGGCTCCTTTTTAACAGCTGTGGCGACAAAGAGGAGCCCACCCACTTACTTTCGTACCAATAAGTTCACACGGGGATTTCAAAACTTAATCGATGCATATGGCATGGCCACCTATCGGGAGGTTAATCCTGCTCTCTACACCTGCATTACTTTCCCTTTCCTCTTTGCGGTTATGTTTGGCGATTTGGGCCATGGTTTTATTATGTTCTTAATTGGCTTCTGGATGGTTATAGATGAAGAGCGGCTGATGCGAAAGAAAGGCGGCGAAATTTGGCGAATCATGTTTGGTGGTCGTTATATCATTTTGCTCCTTGGTCTTTTCTCCATGTACACCGGATTCACTTACAACGACACCTTCTCAAAATCGTTCAATGTGTTCGGCTCTAAATGGCGCGTCCGTTATAATACTACCACCGTTCTGACCAATGCAAATCTGCAACTCGATCCCACTGTATCCACCATTGGCACCTACCCTTGGGGTATGGACCCGATTTGGCAGTTGGGTTCCAACAAGATCATCTTCTATAATTCGTACAAGATGAAACTTTCTATAATTTTTGGTGTTTTGCATATGGTTTTCGGTGTATGTATGTCCNTGGGGTATGGACCCGATTTGGCAGTTGGGTTCCAACAAGATCATCTTCTACAATTCGTACAAGATGAAACTTTCTATAATTTTTGGTGTTTTGCATATGGTTTTCGGTGTATGTATGTCTGTGGAGAATATGGTTTATTTCAAAAAGTACGCATACATCTTACTGGAATTCTTACCGCAAGTCCTTTTCCTTATCCTACTGTTCGGTTATATGGGATTTATGATGTTCTATAAATGGGTCCAATACTCACCGACTACCGACTACGAACCTGATACACCGGGATGCGCGCCATCTGTTTTGATCTACTTCATTAATATGATTCTATTCAAGGCGTCCCCACAATTAGCCGGTTGTAAGATGTATATGTTTGACAGTCAAGCAAAGGTGGAACGAGTTTTCTGGATTTTTGCTCTGTTCTGTATCCCTTGGATGTTGATCGGGAAGCCATTGTACATCCAGTGCTTGCGTTCATTTGAGGTAAGCGGCATTGAAAAAAAAAAAAAACAATTATAAATTTTAATTAAACCATCTTTCCACCATGAATAGTCGAAGAAGAAAACGAAGGAGGAATACGTGGAAAAAATAGAAATTCAAGAGGGCGACATTGTTATTGAAGCAACGCTCACAGACCCAGTTCCACATGCTCATCACGAGAACGAGGACGATGAGGAGGAGGAGCCAATGAGTGAGATTTGGATTCACCAGGCCATTCACACGATTGAGTACGTCCTGAGTACTATTTCACACACAGCATCTTACTTGCGTTTATGGGCGCTATCCTTGGCACATGCGGGTGAGTGATATCAATCGGGCCAAGTGCATCTAACTAATACCATGAACCCACAAACAGAGCTGTCTTATGTGCTGTGGCTTATGGTTATGCAGAAGGGTCTCCATTTCAAGGGTTACGCTGGTGCAATTGGCGTGTACATTATTTTTTGGGCTTGGGCTTTGCTTACCATTGCCATCATGATATTCATGGAAGGACTTTCAGCTTTCTTGCATACACTGCGTTTGCATTGGTATTTCCAATGATTTGATACATTTTTATTATATCTATGATTCATGAAACAAATATTGCAGGGTCGAGTTCATGTCGAAATTCTACGCTGGCACTGGTTACGCTTTCGAGCCATTCAACTTTAAGATGATCTTAGAAGCCAGCGACGAGGACTAAGTTTTGTGAAAAGATATCTTATAAATCTTATCTACATAAATGTAAAGTGCGCCATTGGTTTTCATTAGTGCATATTAAAAAAATAAAAATAAATACGACTTAGGCTGTTCTAATGAATTGTTTAAGAGAGCTGAATGTACGTTTAACAATAGGGGTATTCACCAAATTGAGCAAGCGACCTGGCACTCTGGCCAAAGAGCAGTCAACAGTCGNCATTGGTTTTCATTAGTGCATATTAAAAAAATAAAAATAAATACGACTTATGCTGTTCTAATGAATTGTTTAAGAGAGCTGAACGTACGTTTAACAATAGGGGTATTCACCAAATTGAGCAAGCGACCTGGCACTCTGGCCAAAGAGCAGTCAACAGTCTTTACTTGAGCTAATCTGCTCTTTTGCCACAGTGTCAGGTCACTTGCTCAATTTGGTCAATAGGAATGTGTTCAGAACTAAGTTTCAATTCCGCATTTAATCGTGGTTGCGCGTATTGGACATTTTCATCAATTATAGTTTAGAAATAAAAGAGCCTGATGTTTTGGCATGATGCATTTCTGAACGCACCCTAACTATATGGTATTCGCGCAGTTACTAAACACTTATTTCCAGATTTGCTCACAATTTATTAGGAAAACATTTTTAAAATTTATTAGTAATTGGAGTATATATNGTTGCGCGTATTGGACATTTTCATCAATTATAGTTTAGAAATAAAAGAGCTGATGTTTTGGCTTGATGCATTTCTGAACGCACCCTAACTATATGGTATTCGCGCAGTTACTAAAAACTTATTTCCAGATTTGCTCACAATTTATTAGGAAAACATTTTTAAAATTTATTAGTAATTGGAGTATATATGTACATCTCTCTCTCTCTTGGCGAAAATTATCCTTTCCATATTTTTTTTTGTGATATGAGATTTTGTGTGTCTGCCCAACAGCCGGTAATTGAATATTAAACTTGTTTGGTGTTACTAATCTTGTAGTTTTTTTTGTTTATATTTTACTCTGTTGCTCTCTATTTCAGCGTTTACCATACGTACATACTTTAAGGCGCTTGTGTATATTTTCATTCAGAACGTATGACGGCGCTGCAGACAATGTCCTTGAGCTGCATCGAGTGAAAGGCTTAGTAGAGATTTTTATGCGGTTTATACATATTNTGTACATCTCTCTCTCTCTTGGCGAAAATTATCCTTTCCATATTTTTTTTGTTTGTGATATGAGATTTTGTGTGTCTGCCCAACAGCCGGTAATTGAATATTAAACTTGTTTGGTGTTACTAATCTTGTAGTCTTTTTTGTTTATATTTTGCTATGTTGCTCTCTATTTCAGCGTTTACCATACGTACATACTTTAAGGCGCTTGTGTATATTTTCATTCAGACCGTATGACGGCGCTGCAGACAATGTCCTTGAGCTGCATCGAGTGAAAGGCTTAGTAGAGATTTTTATGCGGTTTATACATATGTTCGCTTTCCAAGTGAATAACGCTGATTTGGACAATCTCATCCACTACTTCGATTCCTTCGACGCCTGTCTGCGCTAATTTAACTGTCGCCAACCTGACAGATGACTTCTTTTGGCGGCAAATACAGTTTAATTTGTAGAGAAGTCGTTGGAATTGTGCTGTCCGCACTCATTCCCCTCTCTGTGCCCTATATAGTTTTTCAGACATGAATATTTGGCATTTTAAATCCAAAATAAGTATGTAAAAACTACAGCCAGTTGACTAATCTGAGAGTCAAATTTCCATTTTACAGAAAGAAATGTAGCCCAGCTGTAAAATTTTGTTGGCTAGTGTATTTATTAAAATACATATAAGTTTTGCATTCTTCAAGAATTTCCATGAACTTCCAAATGCGATTGCAATGTCAGCACCTATGTATGTATGTAAGTCTTTTTTCCAAAGCTAGAATTTTTCATGTCAGCAAAAGAGCTGCCACAAACGCCAACACCTGGCCTAGGCCGCATGTTTTTGTGAATTCAACAAAAAGTAAATAAATAACTGAAAATCTTGAAAGTAAGCGGAATAAGTGCACTGTTTTAATGAGAATAGTTTATTTAGAAAGGTTAACTGAAAGTTTCACAATCAGTTGAAATTAAGTCTTCAAAGTGCACGGGTAGCATTTCCAAGGAAAGATGTTGCTTCTAAGGTCCTCACTTTCGGTGGAGATCTCTTTCTTGATCGCGATTTTCGCTTTTTCTACATACGCGGACGTGTTTGTGCAAGTAAATCTGAATCGGCCATTCAATGATGTGAATGAGAAATTTGTTAGTTTTGCCGTGGAACCCGCCGATTTATATAGAGCGCTTGATGGACCAAATAGGTTAACATAATGAATGAAACAACAATTTATTTCATATTACGATATTATATTTGATTAACCCTTCATCACACAGGAAAGTGCTAACGCATATGGCTACGATGCTGGGAAGTTCTTATGTGAAGTTTCTAAGCGATTACAATTTCATATCTAACACAGAAACGAATTACCGAAATCCCACAAAAACTATATGGAAAGGGTTCAACCGCTGGACGAGGTGAGTGCAAATCGGTTATGAAAAACAAACTCAAAGTATATTTCCCTTCGTAGTGCGGTAAACTGGACGATGGTCGTACCGATTCCTTATAGTTCCGGTGAATGGGATCCTATGGAGTCCCTGAGAATTTTAAATAGTTCCTATTTAACAGGCATAACCGATTGCATTTGGCAATTGGGTACAGGTAAGAACGGAGGAAATGTTGAAGTCACACCGGACTACATAAATTGAGTAGCGGAAACCTTTGTAAGCAATTTTTCTCCACAGAGTTTGGTCCGAGTATCAAAGAATACTTTAATGACTTGAATACTTTGAACTTGATGGTGGATACATTCAATCCTTATGTCGATGACTGGGAAGTTACCGGTGCTGAAATACCTTCGGGCAGCAGTAGCGAAGAAGTTAAACGATATATTGAGATGTCGAGAGGCATTAATGCTGCTTTTAATTGGCTGCAGTAAGTACTCTGAAACAGTTACATAAACGCCCATACTCATTTGTAATTGGCACTTGCAGGCCAGCCGATTCTTCCACCACAAATACTATGATCGGCTCAGTCTATGAACACGATCGCACCCTGCGTGCCATGTTCAGCGAGAAGGTACCTGTTTGGCTAAATTTCGCCTCTAAGGATCGACCAAAAAAATCGACACAGAGAGGCACCACTGGTAGCAGCNAGAAGGTACCTGTTTGGCTAAATTTCGCCTCTAAGGATCGACCAAAAAAAACGACACAGAGAGGCACCACTGGTAGCAGCAGCAGCAGCAGCAAAACCAATGCAGAGGATGTCACAGATGTGTTGCGCTGGGCGCAGACTCTCGGAGATGCGGCAACCTCTGGTTTCGACGCTGTTTTCCGACGCATTGATCAAGATGACTTGGAACGCCCTAGTCCCAGCTTTTTCGTAACTATGCTATTCAAGAAAATTATGGGCTCACGGGTGTTCCCTGCCCGACCTTTTACCATATTCCTGCGCAGCAATAAATTATATACCCATTGTGCGAATACAATTTCGGGCGGTATAGCCTTCATGATTGTCAATCCTGATGATGATACCAAGCACGTGACCGTAAGTTCTTCCACAAAACTACCTGGTGAGGAGTACTGGCAGTATATCGTAACATTTAAAAAGAATCAGGCTTATTTGAACAACGAGAGACTGAACATGAACTCCACATTAACGCCTCAAGTCAAGACTAATAGTCCAAATAAAGCATTGCCATTGAGTGCACCCGGGAAATCCGTTGCGTTCTGGGTGCTGCCGAATGCTGAGCTGGAGCATTGCCAGTTCACAGAGATCGATATTGACGAATTGGCGCGCGAATCGATGGAGGAGGAGGAAAAGGCGAGTAAACGCATTTCCTCGTCCGATAAGCTATTGCAGCAGCTAATACAGGACACGGCACTCGCTCACTCTGCTCCAACAAAATCCAACCACCGCAGACGTCGCTATGCCACCTTTGCCAATCGCGGTGCCAGGCATGTTGTGCTGGAGGACAATGGTGAACATTCCGAGACTTTGGCCAAACTTTTCGAACCACTATCCCTGGAGGAAAAGACACCCAAAAAGAGAGAAGAAGTGCTAGAAGATAGACGGTCTGCTGCACTCAAGTGGATTAAGGAGCTACTCGACACAGCACTGCAAGATCGCGAGGATTTGTTTTCACTAAAGCGAAATACTCGCAGCGTCGACGATTACTTTGGCGCCATCTTTGGTGCGAGAGGCGGCAAGAAGAAGTCGGCTATAGTAAAGAAAATTACAGAAATACGCAAACCAGAAAAGAAATCCATTAAATCGTCATACGACCCAGAAAATTTCAATGAGGAAGAGTTTTTTAAGAAAATGGGCGAACAAAGTGAACCTGAGCTGCCACGCGTGCCCGAGGGCGATGTTCATTTGAAACATATAGCCACTGTTGACGGCGAAGAGGTGGAAGACTCCATTGAACGTGGAAAGAGAAAGTTGGAAGTGGAGAAAGTACAGCGGAAAAATCGAAAAGAAACTAGAAACGAAATGAAACCATTGCGCCTCCTACCAACCGAGTTCTACGAGGCACTCCCGACACCAATCGATGATCAAATGAAACGTACAAAGGGCAACAACTGGAATGCGTTATTATTTCCCGAGCCTTTTTCAAAAAAGGAAACAAAAACCAACACCCTTGATGAAGCTTCAGTAAGCAAAGATGCTGATGCCGATGTTGAGAAGGTCGGTGCAACGCAATTCCAAACTGGCAGTCAATTGGCAGAAGACTTTCTGCTCGCCCAAGAAGAACTTGCGCGCTCTTTCCTGCACGAGAATGAAGAAAAGGGAAATGTAGAACACACAAATGATAAAATTATCGAAACAAATGCGGAAAGTGAGGATGAAATGCTGGAAAAAATCAAATCGTTACGCACCAAGTACATCGACTACTTGGCGGAGAACTTGGAGAACTACTTCAATGAGCGCGGCGCAGAGGGCAATATCGATGCACAGATTGGTGAGCCGACCACAGAAGCGCCTTGGTGGAATTTGAGCTCATTGCGTAAGCGACGTTCGCCACGTGCATTGCGTAATCGGTTGTCTGAAGATGATTGGATTTCGAATATGATCACCAAGGATGAGGACCTGGAGCCTTTGGGTAGCACAGCGCCCGAACAGCTGATGGGATTCGAGCGAAAGGCGCCGCGTAGATTACAAACGGACGAGGAAAAGCACAAAGGCAAGTCGAACGCATATCTGAGAACAATGAAGAATAAAGTAGGTAGGCTGGTAGAAATAGTAACGCAACATGTGAACGAGTGGTACAATACAATTACGAAGCCCGTAGGGGATACAAATGGTGCGGATAGCAACAGACTACGAGTGACGAGAGGCAAGAGAAGAAACTGAGCTGCAATTGAGAGTGATTAAACCAAATGGGAGATTATTGCGGTATTTTCTTTGAATCAATCAATAAATGTATGGTGGTATATAATTAAACATTTACGAGCGTGGCATTGTAGTTTGATATTAATGAGAAATAAAAGGGCGAATAAAAGATTAGTACATAAATATTAGTGACGAAATTTCTATTACGTGACTACCGGCGCTTGTCTTTGAATAGTTAAAGCCAAAACAAAATAAATAATAATTGTTGATTTTGAGGTATTCCAGAATTTTTTAATATAATTAATATATGATGAGGGGCGCACAGTGGTTCGGATCGCAAATCTAGCTGGACGAAACTATTTAAACAAATACTCGTTGATGGATCTTTACACCACTTCTTACCTAGGGGATTTTTGAGTCGCTGATTACGAATCTGAAGTCACTTATCAAAAATTCAAAATGGCGGATCCAATATGGCGGACGAAAATAAAAAAAATCGGTAGATTTCTATGAAACTGGGTATCTGGGGGTTTTCTGGGTCGCTGATTACATATCTAAAGTCATTTACTTAATTTACTATATTTACTTCGGAACGAGCATTTTCATCAGATATTTCTTTCAATTTACTAATCACATAATCACGGACACCTTGTTGTCTTTTAGAAGTTTCAGCAACACTTCTAACACTTCTCCAAATGTCAAATTTTTTAATTTCAGAAAGCAGAAAATTCGCGAGTTACTATTTTTTTTTAACTCTTACATAACCAAAGTTTTTATAACTCCAAGTGTTTTTATGTTTTAACACACAACCCCACTACACTGAAGGNACTATTTTTTTTTTAACTCTTACATAACCAACGTTTTTATAACTCCAAGTGTTTTTCTGTTTTAACACACAACCCCACTACACTGAAGATGGAAATGGTCTCATTATTGCTATTCAAAAATGTCGTAAATATAATGATGTGTACACTCACGTTAAAATGTATAACACTTATCTTATGAACTATATTTTAATTATATACCAAAATATTGTTAAAAACAACTACTCTGGCGTTTTAAAGTATTATCTGATACTTACATTCATAATTTTGATATGAATAAAAATGTACTGAAAAGTACTGGTTTTTTTTAGCATGAAAAAGTCTAATGTACTGATTTCGCGCATAGAAAATCTGGCAGCCCTACGACTTACCATTGGAAATTTAATTTATAATCTTATAACTGGAATCTACTATTGCACCCTTTCCTCAAACGTGTATTAATTCAAAATTGAAGTACTGTATATTTATCTAATTTGAAAAAAAAAATCTCTTTACTACACAAACTAACATTTTCAAATGGTTTGAGAAGGAGTAACAAAACAAAAATACTTTTAAGGCGTAGCGTAGCTGACGAAATTGTTGTAAGTCAAATCGTTTCTGTAAATTTTTATTCTTTCTGCAATTAATCAAACATTTCCTTAATTGAGCTACAAAGCCCTTGCATTAGTCAAGTATTTGGTGTTCATAGTCGACCTTGCCCAACAAAACAAAAGAATTAAGACACAAACCTCTCGCGGCATCTAACAAACTCTCCGCTGCAAGTGGTGTGAGCAAACTCACATATCAAGTGAAATAACAAAGATCAGGCGTATATTTGTATACTCCTACTTGATTCGAGAGAAAGTAACAACAAAATAAAAATCATTCGATGAGCGCGCACAGCGCAGAGTCGCACTTTAATGACTGTCTGATTGCATGAAGATTCAAGCGACCCAAGACTCATATCGCAGTGTGAGCATAGCTTGGAACATACATACATAAAACAGTAGCTAAGTAAAACTGCCAAGCAACGATTTCGAGCGACAATCCATTGAATATGGCCAACAATAGCGCTTTCGAACAGTCTCCAGTCAAACGTTCAAGGCGAGGGTTGTGTGCGAGCGGAACTTGAGAACTAAGATACCAGCAGAGCTAAGGCTTAAATTTTAATAAAAGGTATGTAAGTGCAAGCAAAGCGATAATATTATTTAAGGGCAAATGGGAAATAGAGTTTTTGCTTGAAAATTCAAAACGCGCTAAAATGTGCTTATTGAGCAAAAAAAGAAATGTTGGAATGAAGTATGTGTGTGCCGACGTTAAAATTTTTTTATGGTTAATGGAAAATGAAAGGCTTTTTGTAAACATACATACATACATATGTACATACATACGTACTTATGTATATGTTCATACATACTTACTTTTGTAAGTTGTGCAGTGTCGGAGTGTTGGGTTTGTTACAATTGCAATTTTTGATTGTAGACACCTAAAAAAAAAAGTAGACAGCGGCAGTAACGGTGATAGCGATTTCCCAACTACAACGGAAAATAATAATTAAATACAAACAGACAAACACACTGACGAACAAACTTCTTTTTTCGCTTAGCAAACATGCCTTGTAGTGGCGAAGAACTTTTGTACCGACGCAAAGGTGTGGAAGTTTAGGAAGTCGAAGAACTTCGTGTTTAGTTGGTACGTACATATGTACATACATATATATACATACATATATGGCTAAATAAAAATGCGTGTGTATGCAAGTCGCATACAAAACCCATTCTGAAGAATATTGTGGCATCAAAGAGCATTGATTTTTTCATTTTGATGACGTGGAACAGAAGTAAGAAAGTGGATACAAGTGAATGGCAATGGAATTACAAATATACCTATATATGTATTTATTTTGGTTTTTAATCTCATCTGTTATGGGACATTTTGAATCGAGATTTAGTTAATATGCAGACTCTTGTGTGAAATTACGTCGATCTTGAAAAAGTCTTGACAAATGGTCTATTAATTTTATTTGTTGTTGCATCTGCAATGAAAAGCTTTTGTTTTGTTTGAAAAGAGTCGTGGATGTGTTGCTTCGTATTAAGCGAGCAAAGTTACTTACTTTGTGTTCATTTACTAGTTTAAACTAAAAATTATGCACCTACATTCAATTGCAAATGGCAAAGCAAAAATGATAATCGTACTAAAATTTATTAACTTTCTCTTCAAATAGTCGCTGATCTTCATCTATGTACATTAGGCTGAGTCGCAGCAAATAAAGGTTGTAGTAATCCTCTAGATTGGATCACGAAAAAAAATTTTAGCTAACCAGCCCCTTTACCCTGGTAGGAAAACTTAGTATAGGATCTGGGCCTCATAAAAGTGTTCGCTACAGATACGAGCTAAAAACAGCCAAAGGTGCATTATTTTGCAGCCGAGCTACAAAAAGAAAAAAGAGCTGGAAGTATGGCGCCACCGAGTTCCCGGTTATAGGCGCTCTATTTCCTTCACAAAGGGGCGTGGTGGTGGTAAGAGGGAGTGCCTACTAAAGCCCTTAAACTTGCATTGAGTTATTGATCACTCGCATTTGCAAAACTGATCAGAATATTACTCCGGCCTTATGCCAATTTACCCATAACATTTAGTTGGTGCAATTCTAGATGGAATTTAAGAGACTGCTTAAGTAGTTTCGGTCTGAACTTGGTTGAGGAAAAATGAAGGGGTGCTCATCTCTAGTAGGGAAAACCGGAGGAAGAAGAGCTAAAGGTCAGTTCATGACTCGAGATAGCTAAAATCAAGGCAGCAGCAACAGTGATGACTTTATCAAGAATTAATGGTAGCGAAACAGCAGTGTGGGGAGATTTTACACTGAGAAAATAATTTAGTTACTTCAACTAAATATGTTTCTCTCAACACGTGATTTGGTTATAGTTAGATTATTTGGTTTTAGATACCAAATCCTCNTGGACAATTGCGTGAAAGCCGTTGAGGAAAACGCCCACCATGTCTTTTCGAGTGCCCGCTAAATATTCAGATTGAGAACCGAGGTCCTTGAGATGCTTACGCTCGAATCAGTCATCGGCTGTAAGATGAAAGGGACATCAATTATTTTTAATTAATAAATAATTTTTACACGCCTCAGTACGCGATTTATGTATCTTTAAAAAAGGATTATATCGCAAAATGCAACCCTTCTGCGTAGTTTTTGCAAGGAATTGTTTCATAGTAAGTCATTCGTTATTACATCGAAAAGTTGCAGAAAAGGGCTATGGGAGTTTTTAGAGAAACATTGACGCTCATTTCTGAATTTATCTAAATTTGCACTTAATCATAAGAGACATTGACCAAAACCATGACACAGAATCACACTTGCAACCGCATGGCCTCAAAGTCACCACAAACACACAACACATACATATTTACGCTCAGAAGCCGTTTTTCTCACTGTTCAAAGCTTAAGCT